GGGGGGGGGGGCAGTGGCGCAGGGAGGGAGGAGGGGCCATGATTTTGTCGTGCCTATATAGTGCTGTGGCAAGCGCGACAGACCCTCGCAGCGCTACAAGATCGCGGGAGATATGTAACTGTAACCCTTGAGAGTGTAAACGGCCAGGAAAAGGGGGGACGGCCGGGGACATCCATCTCATGCCGGGGGGGTCAATGCACACCGGTGAGGTATCCACACCTCTGCTGCTCTATGCGAATACACACGCTTCTTCTACCGATTGGTGTGTCACGGGGTAAAGAGCGTACCTCGGCCGTAGCGAAGCAGGTCAAACGAACGAGTTATCATCCACTTGTAGGAAATTTTCCACAGCGTCGACCGGTTTGTATATCGAAACCCACATTTCTTAGTCCGCCTCCCCCCCCCCCCCCTTTTGACCCTTTGGTTGGATATGCTTGACTGCCTACTTCGGTGCCTGCTACGGCTACTGGCAGGTTTTGCGACGTCTAAGTTGCTTCGGGTGCCGACCACGGTCGCGCTTTTGGCTGCCTGGGTGGCGGAGCTGTTGTGCAAGGTGGGTGGTGAGTAGAAGAAGCGTCGAGTCTCATCGATCGGGGCGTGGTTGGAAACAGGGCAGGGTGGTGGTGCAGTTAACAACACGTGGATTCTCCTGGAACCGCCGCGCTTGGGGTCTAGTGGGTACAAGTAGGCTTCTCACCTCCGTTCTTCTCGCGTCCCGACCCCTCCTTCATCTCCGGTGGACTTTAGCACTCGTAACCTTGTGGTATGCGTAGCGTTCTCCGGCTGCAACCTTAATGTGCAGCACTTCCCATCGGCGCCAACCTGGAGACAATGTTAGGGGTCGTGCGCGACTGCGCTATTTGTTCTGCTGCATGAAGTCCAAGCGCGTCCTACAGCAGTGCTGGTTGGCGACAGCATCTGTGCAAGCTTCCATTCGGCGGTACACAATGAATCGCTGGCTTGTTTGCTTATGTCACGACGGTGCCTGGCACGTCCCCCCTCCCTCGCGATTGGTCTTTGAGGTCGGAATAACGACCGCGCCGGCGCTGACAAGATCGGACATCCGGGGCCTCACTGAGGCTCGCCGCACCCACAGCAACGCTCGAGCACAGAGGGACTTCGGATACGTTCCACGGTAAAGCGACGGTTGTACGGTTATGGATACCCTCTAGTGGCTTTAGATGGATGCAATGCCACCGGCATGCTCTGCCTTCGTCGAACACCACCCCGTCGGAGAGGTGCTTTGCCTCCTCTTGGACGAATATAGGGCAGGCGATTCGGCTTTGCCTTTCATGCATCCGCTTGGCAAACGGGCTCTTCACGTTTAGCGTGGTTTGAGATCGAGATGTTGGCGACGTGATTTGATCGATAGATCTCTACGAAGACGTTCTCTGGTCTTGTGAGGCGTGGGGAGAGAGACCGACACGTACGTATATGGTACGCGTTTTGAACAGGCACGGGGTTTACGGTTTCGCACGAACTAAAGCTCGGGCGCCTGGATGGTGCGCCATGACGGCGCGAGAGGCAGTAGGCGACGGAGAGAGACGCAACACCACCTCGGTGCTCTCAAGAGCTTGGCTTGCCCGCTGTTCTCCCTGTTACGGAATACGAAAGACAGCATCTCTTAAGAGCGTCCCTCCCTCCCTCTCTCTCCTCACCCGTTGCCCCTCCCCCGCACCCGCAAACGAACGTTTTCCTCCTTGCTTATGTGTTATCCCACCACCTTCCCCTATCGGGCAGCGTCGACCCCGCGGCAGCCATCAAGAGAACCGTCGAGTCGCTGAAACGGGACGGGTGGGCGAGGCACCGCGTCCGTCGACCAGCCCTCGCCTATTGGATCACAAACCCGGGGGGCATCTGGCTGGTGACCCTCGCGGCCTTCGGGGGCCCGTGCCCTGCTTTCGCGGAGCCGCTGGCGAGAAGTGGTGAGAGCCAGAGCCGAGTCGTCGTTCAACGGTTGACATTGACAGGACGCACGGGAAGGGGCACAGCGGATGATCGTTGCTACTTCGTGAGAGAGATGTGGATGGCGGCCACTGTTAGAAGACGCCAGAAAAAGAAGGAAGAGAAGATAAGAGAGAGAGAAGCAGCACTGATCTCCCTTGAAGGTTGTACGGCAAGGGCGAAACTGGTGTTTGGTGGTGTTGCGCTTCTGGTCGGAGTAGGGATGACGACGCTCTGTCTCCAGATGGGTGCGTGGCCTCCTATGACCATGGTCCCTTTTTGCGCTTACACTAAATAGTTCATCCCTTCTCCTCGGTTTCGACCTCCCCTCTGCAGCCGGACACGTCGGGCTGCGGCTGCTCAAGGAGCAGTCTACCGTTCGCGCCGTGTGCATCGCGGTGTACCTGGTCCACGTCCTGGAAGGGGTCTACGCCTTTCGCGTGGCGCGGCACGCCGGGCACCGAGACGCGGCCCCGGGGTGGTTCGCCCAGACGTTCCTCCTCGGGTTTCCTTCGGTGTTCTTGGTTAACGACCTCAAGCGGGCAGAGAGCACCTCGAAGAGGAGTACGAGCGACGGCGGGCAGACGAAAACGCCAGGTTCATAACATAATAATGATTGACGGTTTCAAGCGAGAGGAGGAAACGGGCACGAACGCCCTCGTCTTAGAAAACGAAAGATCTTTGTCTCTACGTAATAGGCGAACTGAATAGGTCCAGCTTTGCGGTGAGTTCATTCATAGTGTACTTGACCTCCCTGGTCTGAAGTATGATCTTGACTTGCTTGCTTTGCGTTGCGAAACCAAAGTCCACATACATAGCGGAGGAGAGAAAACTCGGTCGTGCCATTTATAGTATTGTTGGTTGGGGTCCTGTGGTAGATTGATTGATTGGTGCCTTAATAGATGTAGAGATAGAAACCGCGAAATTGTCCTGAAGGATTTGCCTCCTTCCTCAGTGAGCTGAATCGTTTTTAACGCAAGCCGACGAACATCGTTGTTGGTGTTGCTATGTAGTCCCCAAGCTACTTTTTGGTTTGCGTCGTGCTTATGGTTTGAGAAAGGGAGCGAACAGGGACTTCCTATGCACGTAAAGCGTTCGGGGCACGACAGATGTACCACTATTCAGGCAGCGGGCAGCGGGCAGCGGGCTGAGGGTATCCAAGGTCGGGAAACTGCAATGATGTGCTTGACAAGAAAGAAGAAACAAATGGGAGACTCAGAAACGCGAATGAGCTACGGCAGCTAGATATCGCGCTGAATGTGGAGCGAGAAATATTTTCAACTCGTTGTCGAAAACGAGCTGCAGTATGTCTATGCATGTCGTCTAGCAATCGAACGAACGCAGAACACTCTTGGTAGCTTACATATGTTACAAAATTGTCCCAGGTGGGGGGAGGAGTGGACTTGTGGGGGTACCAATGCATATGACAGTGTGTGCCGTGCGGGCAGCCGTCCAACATGCGAATTTCTTTCTTCGGGAAAAAAAAGATCGTTTTGACCATGAGACAGGCCGCTCCGTCGGTCAGTCAGCCTACAACGGGTGCTCCTGGTCGGTTGCTTCCAATTTTTTTTTAAGTTTGTTCGTCTTCCCAGTTTATTAACCTGTGTCAACGACGTATCTGATCTCTCCGAACTGAAGAGCTCCTTATCCGGTGGGTCAGCCATGTAGTGGTATGCACGCGTGGTGCTATTCGGGAACTCACTTGTTGTTAACTCTTGTGGAACAGCAGTAGCAGCAGTAGCTGATGCCTTGGCTAGCGATAGGTCTGACATCGAGGGGGCCACAGGATCCTCTGCTCAAGCAGGGGCTACTAAGATCCTGTCCCCTGTTTTATCCTTCTGCGGGGAGTTACATCTCCCCGGCATCTCCCCGCGTCTTCTAGGAGGAACCATTCTCTTCTATGTTCCGCCTACACATCTAACGAACCGTTCGACTGCTGTGGCCATATCTCGAATGGGTAGTCTTTCTGTGTTTGTATTTATGTTTCCTATTAATCTAATCCTATAACACTAGCCCATGCTGGAGTCTATGCTAGATTTTGGGATTAGCAACGGCACGAGTTTACTGTGAAGACAACAACAACAACCCTGGAGGTTCTCATACGCGGATACAAGAAAAACTGGGCTTTGTGGAGGACACCTGTCGGGAGTATAACCAACCATGTGTGCACATACAAAGTGTAGGAAGATATGGCTCCCTCGGGGTATCTTGCCACAAGGAGAGTGACAGGAAATGCACCGTCGGAGATTGATATCTTCCGAAGTCCCTGGCCACTTGCCGAAAGTGGCGACTCTCCTCTCCCTCTGCTCGCTATGGCCACTCTCTCATTCTACCCTCTTCTCCTCGTTTACATATCACGAGAGAAAATAGCCTTCCCCTGGCAGTGGGATAATACTGCCAAGGCACCGGGCTCTGCCTCCGACAGTAGCCAGTGTCCTCAGCTTGAAGAAAACAATTAATTGTCGAATCCCTAAATGAGAGTATCGAGGATGGATGTGGAGCTCCAAAAAAGCACAATTCACCCTCCCACACATCCACCAACAGTGTAAGGAATCTTACGCAAAGCGTCTGACAGAACGGAAGTTCGCCACTCGATCCGCGAAACGGACAGGTTGTGCTGTTCACGAACCAAGTCGTAAGAAGGGCGTTGGCGATCAGCAGCAAGATCGCATTACTCGAGTTGATCGCGATGCAAGCTTTGGTGGCCGCGAGGGTATGAATGCTCGGGCACCGTGATCGGCAAACGCGGCAGTCGGTTATTGTGCTCCTCATTGGGCGTTAAACCAGTAGCGGCACTTACCGAATTGTTGTAAGCGAACTCGACATGCGGCAAGTGGGTGCCCCAATCATCTTGCTTCTCGTTGACGAACATCTGAGGCATAGTGTGATTGACACGTTCCACACCCCCACTGCTATTGGGATGGTAAGAACTGGTAGCCACCTTGCGGATAGCAAGACGGGCGTACACGGTCTGAGACAGCTTAGAACAAAACTGGGAGCCGTTGTCAGACAATAGGCTCAACCACAAAGGGATATACCAGTTGACAAGGATGTCGGCGGTGCCTTCGGCGGTGAATTCTGCAGCCGTAACCGCGTACATATCAGCACGACGGCTGAACTGGTCGGTGAAGAGCAGAATATATGCGTTTCCACGCGGGGTTAACGGGAGGGGACCGAAATAGTCGACGCTCACCGACACACCAGGGCCCGAAGGCAGCGGAAGCAACAAAGTAGGCCATCGAGGGTTCTGACGAGACGATTTGCGGGCTCGGTATCGCAAACAATGCCGTACCCACCACTTGGTGCAAACACTCATGCCAATCCACCAATAAAAGAGTTCCAGCATGCTAATCGTGCGAGCTGCACCGAGGTGGCAGGACGGTTCCGCGTGACAGACTTGCACGATCCACAGACGCATGAGCATGGGAACATAAATCCGAATAGATTCATCGTTGAGGAGGCGAGCCGAACGTCCGCCAGGACGAGTGGATGTAGGCGATGGAGTTGCTGTAGGCTTGCGAACAAGCAAGACCAAACCATCATGGTCAACGTGTAACCGGCCTTTGTTAGACAGGTCACGAATCTCCGACATAGAAGGTCGACGAGCGAATAAACATGATATCCGAAGGGAGAGCCGAAGGCCGACCCAGAAGGATGAAACGAATTGCGGCATCACACACAGGTTCGTTACGTTGCTCACGAGCCCAATCAGTATGCGAGAAACGTACGACAGACGCCCGGATGGCAAAATCCGCCGAAGAATGTAAGACCGCCTCGATAGAAGAGGGGGCCGATTCGTGAGGCGTCGACTGCAACCCGCCCGAAGGTAGAGCAGCAATGGAAACCGAAGATGAAGGCGTACGAGCGGTCGAAACCAGACTCGTCGGAGATTCCGAAGAATCGGGGGCAGCACAAGACACAGGGTAGGAGCAACCGAAGTTGCAGGATGCGTCGAAGATGCAAGATCCCTTCCACGAGCTAGAGGCGTAGGAGGATCGGGGATCGAACCACCAGTACCAGGAGTCGAAACCAAACTGGGCAAGACGGGGGGCGTCGAAAATGCCGGGGGCGCGGGCGGAGAACGTCCAAACGATCGAGGCGAAGCGGAATTCCGAGTGGGAGCAGGCGGGTCGTTAGAGCAGCCATAATCCACAGGCGGGAGGGTCTTGCCGGCCACAACCGCCGTACGGCGACGAGTCCGCGTGGAAATCACTTGAGTAGGTCGAGAGTCCGTCGTGGTGTGGCGGTCGGCGAGACGGCCGGCGGAGACTCGGGCCCGAGAGCCATAACATCCTCCACAGACGGGTGTAGTGAGCCAGACCAAACAAGGGGAGGCTGCGTACGCAGTCTTGAAGGAGGCAACTCGCGGAGCTTCTTGAACGGCCAGGGGGCGATGTTCCAGATGCCAGGAGGAGACGAAAGACCTCACGGCGAGAGACGTGGTCCATGCCAGTGAGCACAATACTTTCGCGCTCTCGTTCCCAAAGAGATTGGTCGAAACCACGGACCCCGCAGGATCGGACACTCGCATGATGTTCTGTATGCGCTGCGGTCTTCGAAAAGACGAGCTTTTTCCGCAGCGAAGAACTGCTCAGCACACAAGTAAACAACTCCATCGACCACAAAAGTCGACGGGGTACAATGCGAAAAGGGAGAGGGGGGGTACCACAAGAAGACCATGTCAGTAGTACAATACCCGGCAGACGGGTCAAAAACAGCCGGAGCTGGGGGAGCCGAAGCGCCCGGAGTGCTGTCAGCCGAAGCTGAGAGGTGGCAGCCGAAGCTGTGGCGGCTGCCGAAACGCCCGCGTTGCAATTGACGGCATGGACGTCCGTGGAAAGTGTCCCGACCACGGGAGGAACCGGCGAAGGATCGACCGAAGTCTGATTGTTCGCAATAATTGGGCCAACAACTCGATGGCGGGTACACCCCAATTCTAAACCTGAAGAAACTCCTCCGCGAGGCGTCATTCAACAGGCCGCTTTCGCTAGGAACGGCCGCCAAGGCCTGGTCAGTTAAAGGACCGAGCCGGGCATGGTGCTCCTGGCCAGTTCGTCGGAATGGATGGAGGTCACTCCGGGAGGGTCCTCCCGAAGCGGTGGTGTCAGCACTGTCGACGTCGGTCGCGGCGGCCTGGTATTGGGCGCCGTTGGGCAAGCGTGCGTCGGAAGGGATGGGGCGTGTGAAGACGATCCATGGTCGAAATATCTCGTGGCGGAATCTGATGGTGTTCGACGGTCAGAACCAAGAGAACAAGGTGATTCGAAGCCAGGCGAATTTGACCCTGAAACTTACCGGTCGGAACCAGTTAGGTTACATAGCTACCGGTGCAACAAAATCGAGGGCGAACCCTCAACGGAAGCGAGCACAGGCGAATTGAGCGTATCCGAAGATTCACCCGAGGTAACCAATTCAGGCCATTCCTCTTCAATCGTCCAAAGCGTATGACTACGGCCTGTCTGATCTGCAGACGACGGGGGGAGCGAACGAGCGGTGCCAGACAAATGAGCTGTACTCAATGGCCCCGAAGGTCCTACGGTTCTGTTCGCGCACCTCAAGACAGCACTCGCGCCAGACTGGTTAGTTTCTGACGGAGCGGCAGCCCAAAGAGGCAGAGGCGCAGAGGTGGCAGACGTTAAGTGCGATGGCGAAGGTGGGACGAGAGCATTTGTCTGTGTACCGACCTGATCGACACTGGGAGAAACAGCGTGTACCGAAGTATGTGGCTGTTATTGCGCGGCACCGAATTGCTAGAAGGAGGAGAGTGTGAAGGGATAACAGTCACCGATGTGTGGTAATCGTTGCGTAGGACCGAAGAGTTAGAGGCAACAGTGTGTGAAGGCACAACAGGTACCGAAGTATTGTTATTGGTGCATAAAACCGAAGTGTTAGAGGCAACAGAGCGTGACACACGAGCGTCTTGTGATGAACGAGACGAAGTCCCCGAAGATGCTGAAGGCGGTCCGAGGGAAGGAGGCGAACCACCGTCGATGAGTCATCCGCTGCGAAAACGGCCACCATTTGTACTCTGACGGGCATTGATTGTGATTGGTCGAAACCATGATGCCAGACGAAGGGCCGGTGTGAGCATGTGTTTGGGGTTGATAGAAGGACATAGCACCAGTGTGGTGGGTGTTGCCCGAAGTTTGATGTTAAGAGTTAGAGTTACCCGTAATATTTCCTAGGGCGTGCCCACTGCTGTTGTGCGATTGCGTCTGAGGATTGTGTGGGGAACTACTGTACACCGTCGGGACGGCGATTCTTAGCGTGGTTTCGACGCTGAGAGGACGAAGAGGAAGAGCGCTGGCGGCGTCTACCCTGATTGTTGTGGCGGTTGTCCGCACTTGCTCGGCGAAAAGACCTCATGCGGCCTTGCCGACGCCTAAAAGCGGAAAAATCGTCATTGAGATGACCCAACTCGGGGTTCAACAACCCGCTAGAATTCGTGAACGGTGCAACGCATTGCTTCATGGAATGGTCTTCACCCGAGCAGTTCAGACAGCGATTCCTGTTTTCGCTGAAGGCTTGCGAGCGAGCCTCTTGCCTTTGACGACAACAGCGCCGGCATAAACGGACGGGTATGACTTGCCTTTGACGACCTGGCTTGCGAGGCAAGCTGGTGTCCGAGCCTGACCCGGTCCCGTTCTTGCCCTTGGTGCTGCGGGATCCGTCAACGTGACGTATAGCGGCCGGCCGAGCGCGGCTCCCTCCCGCCGACGAAGATGAAGGCTCCGGGGGTCCACGCGATGCTTCGGCCGAGCTCCAGCGGGACTCCTCCCCTGAGCTACCTGGACCGCTCTCCCGACTGGAACGTGGTAGGGGCTTCTTGGGTCGTCCGGACGCGGGCAGCGGGAACCCTCCGGAGGAGGTCTCCGAAGGCGGCCCGCTGCACCCAGGGTAAATCACTGGAGCAGTGGCGTTGGCTTTAGCCGTTCTCATCCCAGCGAGGAAGAGGCCCGCGAGGTCCCGAAGGTCTGGACGGGAAGTGTTGGCAACGTCCACCGCCTCTTGGATGGTGACGGCGGCCGGCAAAGCGATGCCCGCCTCCGTGGCCAGGTCCCTGACCAAAATCACTGTCCTGCGAGAGGAAGTTGAATTGGTGGTACTGGGCGACATCAACCACCGTCGCCGGGGTGAATCGGAAGTCGCCGGGCTCGAAGGCGACGGTGCCCGTCCGCAACGACGAGGAGCGGGTGACCGGGCTCGACGAAGCAGCAGCTGCGTACGTACCGGGCGAGGCGGCAGAACGAGACGATGCTGATGGAGCTCTCCCGCCGGCTCCCGGCGAGCGGGGCGACCGCTCCGCGCGCTCTCGAAGGTCCTTCTCGCGCTGTTTGCTGGCCTTGCGGGCAGCTTCGACCAGGGGTCCTCCTTGCGCCGGTCGGTGGTGAGGGTGGCAGCGAGTTGGCTCCGCTGACGATCGTACTCGGCTTGCAGGTTCTCAAAGTCTATGATGGCCTTGGAATTTTTCTCCCGCTTGTGACGCAGGGCCTTGAGCTCCTCCTCGCGGGTGGAGATTTGCTGCCGGTATTCGGCGTCGATGAGTGCGTCCTGGTCCTGGAGGGTGGCCGCTCGATCGGCGTCGATGGTCTCGCCGCTCGCCCGACGAACCGCGTCCGAGCAGGCGACCCGGCGCGCCTCCGCTGACATGGCGTCCCACAGCGCGATGGGGACCCACCGCGGGCAGTGTAGGGGCGGTGTAGCAGGGACCGAAGCCGTGGCCGAAGCCGTAGTTGCCGCCGGAGGTAGCGCCAGCGGGACAGGCGCGGCCGGCCTGCCGGTGGCAGCAGACCTCGCTCCGCCGCCGGTGGTCGAAGCCCGAAGCTACGGAGTCGACAGCCGAGTAGAAGACGTAATCTCGGGCTTGACGGTAGAGGTCGTGGCCACCATCGATATCGGAGAGGTTGCGGTTGCGGCGCTTTGCGATTTCAAGACGAAACAAGGCGTCGGCAGTAGCAGCACGTTCATGCGATGAGGAGAGCATGGGGGGGGGGGGGGGG